GATCCTGGGGTAGGGAACCATGAGCCCATCCAGGCCGTGAACGCTTGCGCCGTCTAAAGACACAACCGGTGGGATGGGTTGGAGCAAAGGGTGCCCAGCAGGGCAGAGCACTGTCCCAATAACATCATCGTAGAGTCATCAAATGGTTTGGGTTGGAAGGGACCTTAAAGCTCATCCAGTTCCAACCCCCCTGCCAGCAGCAGGGACACCTTCCACTAGACCAGGTTGCTCAAAGCCTCATCCAACCTCTGGCCTTCAACACTTCCAGGGAGGAGCAGCCACAGCTTCTCTGGCCAACCTGGGACACTGTCTCACCACCCTCACACCAAAGAATTTCTTCCTCACATCTCATCTCCATCTCCCCTCTGCCACTTTCAAGCCATCACCCCTTGTTCTGTCACCCCCTGTCCTTGTCCAAAGTCCCTCCCCACCTTCCTGGAGCCCCTTCAGGTATCAGGGCCCAACCCAGCCCCATCCATTTGACCCCCACACTTCAGTTATTTATAGACATTGATCAGATTCAATTACAACCTCTGTGCTTTTTCCTCATCTCTTCTTTCCTCATCTCTCTCCAACATCTCCCACTCAACCTCCTCCCTGGGCTCTGCAGCCCCCAGACCCTCAGAGCCACGGCAGCTCCTCACCTTCGCTATCATCGTTGCTTTGTCTACTGTTGCGACCGGTCCCTCTCCCGCTCCCTAAACGAGGGTTGCCCAGTTGATCTTGTTCTTGCTGCTGCTGTTGCTGTTGTTGTTGCCTGCGAGCGATCTTCTTCATCTGCAAAGGAGATGGACAACCCAGATTGGAGGTTCTGATCGAGAGAAGAAGGGGAGTGGGTTGTATTTAACACAGCGATGGTCGTGATGGAACCCTGCTTAGATCCCTCTGGGTGACTCCTCTGTGGTCAATGTTCTCTGCAGTCATCCCTGCGTTAAGACACGGGGCTGATGGAAAAGGCTGTCTTATTTTTCTTGGGGGAGAAACCAAAGGACTTTGTTTTAGTAGAAAGTGAAGTTTTCCAAAGCCACTGATTTTCTGGTTTTCACCCTTGAAATTCTGTGAAATTAGACACATTTCAACTTCTAGGAGAAAGAAGTGGGGGATCCACTTTCTCTAGTGATCTCACTATAAATAAATCCACTTTCTTTCATCCAATTTCTATAGTGAGGGGGGGAAAGCAAGTAGAAAAAGAGGAATTAAGAAATATAAATGTGAAGCCTGGCAAACATCTATAATTAATCAATTTTTTAATTTCTCTTTAAGCTTTTCCTACTACTAGATACGTGTTGTAGGACTTGATGGACCTGTGGTTGGTCCTACCTAGTTGTTCTTCTGTTCTTCTAACCATTTTCTCTCTTTTTTTTATTTTTTTCTAAGTTATTCTCCATTTTAATTGAATGAGTGCACGTGACATCCCACAGGTTTGAAGAACCCAACTGAGAATCATCACTCACCTTGGCTCTTTGATTCTGGAACCAGACTTGTACCACCCGTACTGTCAAACCCGTCTCAGCTGCCAAGGTTTCTCTGACCTGTCCACAAAACCCAGAGAGTTGAATCAAAATTTAAAAGATTCCAAGTCAACAATGGTGGTGAGTGGCTTCCTTAATACCTTTCTACAAGGTTTTGAGGAGACTTCAAAGGAAGCTTTGAACGCTCGACGCTGTTGCGTGGTCAGGATGGTGCGCGGGCGCTTGGAGCGCTTGTGGTCTTTGCTCTCCTCGCCGCCTTTGCCGTGCGAGTGGCTCCCGTCTTCGTCTTCACTTTTCACTGCCACAGAAGATCAGGAGAAGTGATTCAACTAGAGAGTCAGGGACTTTTCTAGGTCATCACCCAGGGGCAAAGATTCAGAGAAACTTGTCAAGGGTTTTGCTCCTTCCAAAGTGGGATTTAGAGTGGAAGAGCAGAAGGAACCCAGCCAAGCTCGTAGATTTAGGTTAGATATTAGGAAGGGTAAGGGTTGGCCAGAGAAGCTGTGGCTGCTCCTCCCTGGAAGTGTTGAAGGCCAGGTTGGATGAGGCTTTGAGCAACCTGGTCTAGTGGAAGGTGTCCCTGCTGATGGCAGGAGGTGGTTGGAACTGGATGAGCTTTAAGGTCCCTTCCAACCCAAAACCATTTGATGATTCTATGACTGAGGTGTGGCTCGGGGGAACACCATCAATTTGGAGACAGAGCTGATGGGCCACCCTGGCCTCTGTACTGTCCATTCCATAATCATAGAATGATAATATCACAGAGCAGCCCATCCAAACCTCTCACTGAATCCCAGAATGGCCTGGATTGGAAAAGACCTTGAAGATCATCGAGTCCAACCATGAACCCAACACTGACAAGTCAACCATGTCCCTCAGCACTGTGTCTACACGACTCTTCAGTCCCTCCAGGGATGGGAAGGTTGGAAAAGATCTCCAAGATCATCAAGTCCAACCATCAACCCAACACCATCATGTCCCACTAAACCATGTCCTGAAGTATCAGGTCTACATGGTTTTTGAACCCCTCCAGGGATGGGGACTCCACCACTGCCCTGGGCAACCCCTTCCAATGCCTGAGACCCTCAGCAGTCTGATATGCCCATGACTGCCTATCACCAAGGGGAGAAGATGCTACAACCTTCACCTACCTACATCTCCTCCCTCTGCAACCTTCTCTATAGTTAATGAGGGACCAGGCAGTACCTGTCTTCTACAAGGTCCATCTTGGTTCCCCACCCTTAGCACTTCTCCAGCCCCATCCCCTCACCAGACTCAGTGGGTGCTGGGCTGATAGCGCTCAACATCTCCTTCTCCTTCTCATAGTCACTGCGGCACAGCAGCTGCCCTTCCTTGAGGACAAACTCATCTCCTCGTTGCAGGCGCCGCTCGCACTCGCAGCAGTAGAAGCAATGAACGTGGTAGACGTTCTCCAGCACCCTCATGATGAGCTCAGAAGGGGCAATCACCTTCAAACAGCTACTGCATTTGGTCTGGAACAACCTGTAAAGAAAGTCCTGATGGTTAGACACTTGGACAGGGAAGATCAGCCCTAGATTGAGGTTCAGGAAGCCAAGGGAAGAAGGGAGTGGATGGTTGGAGCATATCCCAGTAAGAAATGTCCATCCCAACTGGGCTTTGGAGCTTTTTGACCTTCTGTAGCTCCAAGGAGAAGCATGAACTTGCCTGACCCAACAGGATGGAGATCTATGTCCCCTCTTCTTCTCTTTGTTAGGTTGCTCCTAGTGAGAGGACTTTATGGATCCCTCCAGGCTTGGAGGAGCTTTAGGTAAGGAAGTCCCACAGGGGAAAGCTGTTTGTGCCCCACATCATGTCCAGAGAAGAGAAATAAACAACTGCTGAGTGCCCTGTGGATGGAGCAGATGGTTCTGATGAAGTAATTTGGGATCTAAACAAATGTGAGCGGTGGTGGCTGCCGGCTGACAGCTTCTATTTAGCCACTTGACAAGAGAAAGTAATAAAATAGGGATTAATTAGGCTGTTGTTTAAACACACAGAGATCTTCCCCACCAGCAGGGAACTCATAAACTGGGATTGAGAACAAGACTGGGTTAATCCTCCTGGCAAACTCTGTGGAGCAGGATGAAGAGGCTTTACAGGGTTGGGTTCATCCCTTCCAAATACCACCATGGATTTTGTAGCGTGCCGTGGTTTGTGGTTGAAGTGCTTGGGACATTCCAACTGGGATGGTGTGTGGGATTTCTCTTTCCTTTGTGTGAGGTTTGTTGGGGTTTTTTTTTTTGAGTGTTTCTCCCTCTTTCTCTCCCCTTTTCCTCTTTGTCTTTCTGTAAGTCACACTTGAAAAACAAAATCATATTAAAATTAAAATATGATATTTATGAAATGATATAATGATATCTATTAAATGATAAATGATATCTATTTTTAAAATCACATTAAAATCAAATTTAAGTTGAAAAAAACCCCCAAACCTGGGTGTAAAGAGCAGCTTTTTAACCACAACCTCTCGCTGTTTTAACGAAAGAGCAAACTGGGAGCGTGTTCCAGGCACAATCCCAGCCTAAATCTGGACTGAGTCCAAATCTACCCCTTTTCCTAACACCACCATCCTTCTGTTACAGCAGGAGTGAAATAGTAAAAAGAATTTAAAAAGACCCAACTGTGATCACTCAGAGCCAGTCTGCGATCGCGGCTGCCCGGGATCTGTCAGGAGCAAGTGACCGTAGTGCTAAACATCAAATTAGTCCTGTTCCTGGATTTTTTAAGCCCAGATGGAAGATGATGGTGATGCAGTCTGACCCCGTGTTCATCACAACCCAGAGTATCTTGCCCTGGGATTCCCACCTCAAGTTGGTGGTGGATCTACTTGCAAACCAGCAAAACGTAAAGTCCTTGGACTTCCAGCACCAACTCAAAACATCAGCGTGTTCTCAACATTCTTCTCATCCCCAATCCCGGAGGGAAACCAACCCACAGCACTGTTCTATCTGCTGGAAAGGAAATCAACTCAATCCCAGTGAAACCAGCACATCTGGCTGGGAATTATCCATGTTTTATGTCTCTTAAATGGTTTTTATCTCACCCTACGAGTCCCCTTCCCCTTGTCCCCCAATTCTCTCCCCTGGGGAAGTAGGGAATGAGCAAGCAGCTATGTTTGGCTGCCAGCCCAGTGCTCTCCCAGTTCAACCACCACAATATTCTTCTCACTGTTGGCAGGTTGATAGCGAGAGGGATGGAGGAGAACAAGGAAACACGTCAGAGCTGGGAGAGGAGAACGATTCACCTGCAAAGCACCTTCCTCCCGCTGCTGTCGGGACGAGGCAGTTAGTGAGTCTTATTTAAAGATGCTTATTTCAAGATGCTATATTTCTATGATATATTTCTATGCTGTCATGTGCCAGTTTTCCATGAAGAAGGGCTTTTTGGGGGTTTTTTTTGCAGCTAGCAGGTGAGGGAAGCTCCGTTACTGCGGCGTAACTCAATAACGCTTTGGCATCTCGAAACCCGGACCTTCTCGTCTCCCCAGCTAAGCCCCGAAAACAAATCCACTCTGCTTTGTACTAATTGAAGAAAACATTCAGCAAGCAGCTCATAAACACGGTGTCAGCTCGCATTACACGAAATTAAAATTCTCAGCCCTTCCAACACCAGGAATTCCTAAAGAGCCTGGTTTTAATATTGCCTGAATCCGGTTAAGTCAAGGTAATATTGTTTGGGTTGCCATAGGAACAAAACACATCTCCGATGCTGGTAGTGGGTTACAAGGAGACTTGGGGGAAGCTGTGCTGTGGATGTGGCTACCATGACATCTAGAAGATGCTTCCTGTATAAACTACACTGAGGGATGGTCTGAAAAATAAGTGAGTTCCCAGGTTTGTAATGGGAAGTGCATTTAGGAACAGCAGGACATGAGCGAGATGTCCGTGTCCTCCCGGGGAAGAGGACAGCCTCTGTTACACCATTTCCAAGTGCTTGTAACTCACAACCATGTCCCTCTTCTTTTGGAAGGACCTTTGAGCTCCCTAAGCCTCATAATCCATGTGCCTCCACTTTTATTTTGACCAAGTTTCCCCCATGTTCTCTACTAAACACTCTTGATTTCCTCAAGATCCCAGTTTAGGTTGATTTCTGTTGAGATTTCCTGAGGGGAGGTGTGGTCAGCCTATCGATTTTGATTCCTAGGAACGTTCAGAAACCATCCAGCAAGCAGATGGAGATGCCTTCACACATCCAACATCCTTCTTACCAGCTTGACTCAAATTAATTACCTTTTGCAAATGATAGAATTTGATTTTCTTGCTGGGCAAGGGATCACCTTGATGGAAAAAGTGTCAGTAGCAGGAGATGGGTTTATAAGTGGGGACATGTTTGGGAATTGCGAAGAAGGAAGCTCTAGACCAAGTTAAAGAATCCCAGAATTTCTTTGATTGGAAAAGACCTTGAAGATCATCGAGTCCAACCATGAACCCAACACTGACAAGTCAACCATGTCCCTCAGCACTGTGTCTACACGACTCCTCAATCCCTCCAGGGATGGGAAGGTTGGAAAAGACCTTCAAGATCATCAAGTGCAACCATCAACCCAACACCACCATGTCCTGCAGTGTCAGGTCTACGTGTTTTGTGAACATCTCCAGGGATGGGGACTCCACCACTGCCCTGGGCAACCCCTTCCAATGCCTGAGAACCCTTTGGGTGAAGAAATTCTTCCTCACATCCCATCAGTTCTTCACACTGATGGACACTCAAAGACATCTTTTTTTAAAATCCCATTCACTAAACTTTCAGAGCACGGAGCTGCAGGAAGGTGGAATCACAGCAAAGTGACCACATGTATCTGCCTGGGGTTTTTTTTTTCACATGCAGCTGAAATCTTTCTCCATCTTTTCATCATTGATCAGTTTTTAGCCCTAATTAAACACCCTAATTGTCTGTTAATTCTTACAGAGCATCCCTGTCACCGCTCAGGCCACCGCGCTCGCTGCCGATGACTTTGGAGGAGAAGTTGCAGCCCCAGATGGAGATGAGCCCAGCAGAAATGATTTGAGAACCTCTCTGACCTGCCATAGCACGGAGAAGACGTTGACCCAAGCTTGGGAAGGGTAATTTGGGGGGGGGCAAGACAATTATCTCACTAAGATTAAAAGGTGTTAATGAAGCAAAGAATAAGCTGGGAGAGGCCTGTGCTTGGTGAAACGAGCTTATTTAGTTAAGGTTTAGTCAAAATGAAGCAGTCCAGGCTTAAGCAAGGGCTGTTTACTTAACATTGAGCTGCAAAATCCATTGTAGCTGCCTGAAATATTGAAGTGGATCTTGCAAAGCCACATTTTGGGGGTTGGGACTTAAGGGGGGTGACGGGGAAAGGGACACACAAGGGAAACGAAGAGGCAGAGGCAACACAATGTGCTCTTTCATTCCCTTGAAAATGGGAATTTCCCCCCCGCCCCCCCCCCCAATTCAGTGATCTGGAGTGGGACCAGGGGATTAAGAGGGAAAAAAAATTTCCTTCTGCTTAATTTCTGTCTTTTTTCCCAGTTTTTAAATGTTTTTAGGGCAAAGAGAGAAGGTGGAATTTAGGGACAGCAGTTGCCTTCACCCTCCGTCCCCTCCAAAGCTTTTTGGGGGGTTACACGAATTGATTTACCCCTAAAAAGGAACTTTGAGTTGTGTAATAATGATGTCATTGTGCCTCTTGTCAGAAACAGCCTCAAACCTCCTCTTAATGTGAGCGTGTACAGCAGGAAATAAATCTTAATTATTAAATGTTAATAATTTTAACTTAAATAAAGCCAAACTACCTGCTGTGCGTGCGACGTTCTCTCTCGAGGAGAGGGAAAAAGAAGTAAATATAAAATCACAAGTGGATGTCACCTCACTCACTTTGATGTTTCCCTAAAAAAGGCAGGAGGATGGAGAAGAGCCACCATCACACAATGACACAGAAGGAATGACCCAACCTTCTTTATCCATCACTGGAAATCTAAAGATGAGGGCAATGCCATGGTCATGTAGAACAGAAGGATTTTAGGATGGGGCATGCAGGGAAAAGATCTCCTAGCACCATGAGTAGCATTTAAGGTAATTATGCTTGATTATAAAAAATAACCCCTCAAAAAACTGCATCTTCTAAGTGTGGTCCTGCTTGAGTGGACCCTATAAATACCCTTGGCATCCACCTAGAAGGTAAGAGGTGTCACAAACTCTACTCCCTGACCTTGATTTTGTTCATGTCAGCACTGAAAAGCAACTCAGGAAAAAAAAACCAACCCAAAGAACTGAAAAAAAAACCCCCAAAAACCAACCCCATCACCTAAACCACAAACCACAAAAAGCAAAACAACCCCAAAGAGGTTCCCAAAGCCGGAGAGATTCATAAATATTAAAGTGACACGAGTGAAATGCTACTGAAAGATTTAATACTGCGCTGCTGCTCTGTCCCTCAAGGGGTTAAACCCCCCCACTGCGAGGATATTACTGCCAGCACGGTGGCACTGAGCCATCACCATATAATCTGATGAACTCTTTTATTAAA